TTGCTGAAAATTTCAGGTACAGTGTGCACAACTTCAAGGCAATTAATTTTCTGCCATTGTCTGTAATCTTAGGTTGCTCTGTTGACTCCATTTTTTTGGTTAAATTATCAAAATTTTCAGGGGTAAAAAGATGAAGACACGGGTTATTGGATGCCCAAAGACCATTGATGGTGATTTAAAATGCAAAGAGGTTCCCATAAGTTTTGGATTTGACACTGCATGCAGGGTAATTGATATATATATATATATTTTTTATTTTCACTCCAGACTTGCAATCTTCGATCGTTAGTTTCTGTAGAGCTTAATGTAAATCCTCATAAAACTTTGTTCTAATTTAGGAAAATTTAACGTATGATTGTTGTAATAGGAATTTCTTGATGATGTTTACTGGCCCTCAAGGTGCAGATATATGCTGAAATTATTGGAAATGTGATGGTAGATGCTCGTTCTACCGGCAAATACTATCACTGTGAGTACTCTGGTTATAAATTTATCAAATTCGGTTATGCCTTATGTTTATTGCCTCTTCAATGCTTAACAAAGTAAATAAGAAAAAATTACAAGGTTTTAAAAGTAACATCAATTATGTCATATGTGGATAGCAATACTAGTAATTAGTAATCCGGCAACGATATCGATCTTATCAATTCGTAAGTTAATTCTGGTATAAATACAAGTACCATATTATTGAAGTTAATCCACACTTTTTCTAAAATTTCACTTGTTGAATATTTGCTGCATTATCCATTTCTACAGTTGTCAGGCTTATGGGCCGTGCAGCTTCTCATATAACATTGGAGTGTGCTTTGCAAACTCATCCAAATATTACCATTATCGGGGAAGAGGTACCCTTCTGATTCCTATGTTCATTTCAATTTCAATTTGGTCAACCACATGTGTGCCATAGATTCGTTTGTAATTATTATTACACTCTAAAGCATGACTATGAAAACAATAGATGATGCAACTCAGAGATAAGTTGTTCATGTGATCATCATGTTGAATGTTTTTATAAATCCTCCAACTTTTGTCAGCTCTGACAAGATTGTATCTTGACGAAGGTTGCTGCCAAGAATCAAACATTGAAGAATGTTACAGATTATATTACTGATATAATCTGTAAACGTGCAAAGCTTGGTTATAACTATGGCGTTATACTTATACCTGAAGGCCTGATTGACTTCATCCCTGAGGTGTGATTCAAATAGAAGATGATCAATGTTGCTAAATATCTTCTTCATACATACAATTTCCTCAATAGATGCAGTTAAATTATCATGTTGCTTGTATACCATCCCACATTGCAGGTACAACAACTTATCGCAGAGCTAAATGAAATCTTAGCTCATGACGCTGTCGATAAAGCTGGGATGTGGAAAAAAAAACTTCAAAGTCAATCCCGGGAGCTATTAGAGTTGCTACCTAAAGCTATTCAGGAGCAACTAATGCTTGAAAGAGATCCACACGGGAATGTGCAGGTTGCCAAGATAGAAACAGAAAAAATGCTAATCGAAATGGTGGAAACTGAATTGGAAAAAAGGAAGCAGGGTGGTGCATATAAAGGGGAGTTCCAAGGACGGTCCCACTTCTTTGGGTAACTAAAAATTTGTTCATCTTGTTAGTTCTTGGATCAGCTGTTCCATGATGTTTACGAAAGCTAATATAGTATTTGTTCAATACGCAGTTATGAAGGTAGATGTGGCTTCCCAACAAACTTTGATGCAAACTACTGCTATGCATTGGGATATGCTGCTGGAGCCCTCCTCCATTCCGGAAAGACTGGATTGATTTCATCGGTTTGTTTTGTTTCCTTATTTTCAATATTTCTTTGTTATCCTTTACATTTTTTTTTTTTTTTTTCAAATTCCTCGTTTCATAGTGATTTTGTGTTAGTGAGAATATGTTGATGGGCATATACAGGTGGGAAATCTGGGTGCTCGAGTTGAAGAATGGACGGTTGGAGGAACAGCATTGACTTCATTAATGGATGTAGAGAGGAGACATGGTACACCGCTACTCCCCTTTGTTAACATACTAACTCAAGGCTAACCAGAACTGTGAGAAAGTGTATTGCCGAGGTGCAGTTTGTGTTGAGGTTTTATACCAACATATTTTTTTTTTCTCTAATCTGAACTTAAAATCCAACTTAAAATACGAAAAGATATATAAATTGAGTTCATTGACATTGGTTAATTTATTTCATAGAACAGTGTTATCATATAGATGTCCGCATTAGAGAAAGAGTATTAAACATAAACTTAATTTACTATAAATTGATGATGTTGAGCTAGGGATTCATAAATAAAACATTGACATAAGATATGTTAAACTTTCGTATAGTTGAGTAACTTGGGTACTTGTATATGTCATTAGGCACCCAATTATAAACTCTGTTTTATAATTTCTCTTTCAGGGAAGTTCAAGCCTGTGATTAAGAAGGCAACGGTGGAACTCGAAGGTAACTTTCCTTTTTATCACTTGTATTGCCTTCAGTGGCAATGAAATGACATTAATTTAGTAGTGCCTGGGCTGCTGCAATAAGAACGTGATGATTTTCCTGGACAGCCAAGAAATTTATTTGTTTTGTTGAATTGTTAATACATTTATCAGGTGCACCATTCAAGAAATTTGCATCTTTGCGGGATGAATGGGCCCTCAAGAATCGATATGTCAGTCCAGGTATATTAATATTATAGATATTTTATCTAATATAATCTTTCTGGCTTTGTTCTTTAATGATGGAGTTTCACTTGAATATCTTAGATGTATTAACCAGTACTTTTATCAAACAACTAAAAAATTTTTACCAGCGTGAGTTGGAACAGTTGAAGAATTCATAGATGGTGGCAACTTTATTGAACAATGGCTTTCTGAAAAACCACTAATGATTTTAATTTTGATAGCCTAGTTTCTTCTTGGACATATTTGCTATATTACTCAGAGACTCGTTAAATATGCTTAACTGAATCTGCAGAATATGCTTTATATGTATGGATTTACTATATCTTTCATTACTATCGTGTTTTGATCAGGTCCAATTCAATTTGTTGGGTCGACAGCGGATGATCTCAATCATACTCTGCGGCTGGAACTTGGAGCACAAACGTAGGACAGAAGTTGTGGTTGATATTCGGTCGCAATATATCCCAATTTACATGAAGCATACAGTTAATTACTATATGTAACACTCAGCAAAGTCTAAAATTTTGCTTCCCCAGAACAAAAAAGATGTCAAGGAAATAAGGATGGTGGGAGTGAAACCTTAGTATATATTACTAAAAATCTAGTCTTCCGTTGGATTGTAATTTATTAGAGGATCAAACATTTTATCTCTGTAATCAATTGAGAAATTTCATTCCATTTATTGGACACACAGAGAGATGCGTTGTCATCTGCTTGTGGAAGATATTCTTTTAACTGGCTGCCTTTGTTTCATTATTTCACCATTATCCTGTCCCTGTTCCAAATACAGATACACATTTGTTCCCTATTTTCAAAATCATATATCATAAATTAAGAAGCTTTTTAAACCCCCTAGATTTGTTAATTGATAAAAACACCCCTAACAATTTTTTTTTAATAAATTAACAAAAACATTCCCACCCACCCTAGTTGCCAGTTTCAACAGGAATTTTTTCACAACGGCACACTACCAGCCGGAACTGGTAGGTAATGCTCCGATCTGACCTTTTTCTCGATTTGGCTAGATCGGTGCACGACCGATTGATCGTGCACCGTAACACCAGATTCTGGCAGTGGTGGCCGAAATCTGGCAATTGTGGGTAGATGGAAGTGTTTTTGTCATTTTATAAAAATTTTATATATTGGAGTGTTTAGTTAAATTAACAAATTTAAAGGGTTTTTTTTGTTAATTTTTAAATTCTACCATGTAATAATCACCTAACTTTACTTACCAATAATATTTCAAAAATACTAAAACAAACACACCCGGATGGACATATTCCGTGAGATAAAATTCTAATACTTAGATCAATGATATACATTTAGATTATTAATTTAAAAAAAAAACTTTTACCTTTACTGTTCCAAGAGTGAGTTAGGGTCTCTAGTTAATCACTCAATTAGTAGCATTTTTCTTAATTATTGAAGGGCCGAACGACGTATGCATACCCAAGGTTTTCCGAAATGACAAGTTGGTACCCAAAAGGTTTTGAAACGACAAATAGGTGCCTTCCGTCAGGTTCTGTTAGTAATTTTCGTTTGATAATAGTGAAAAGACTAAAATGCCCTTGAAAGTTTAATATTTTAGTTTTTTATAAATTTAAAAATTTCTAAAAAACCCCCTAGGTTTGCTAATTTGACTAAATACCCGAATGTATAAAATTTTTATAAAATAACAAAAACACCCCCGCTACCGCAGTGCTAGATTCCGGCCACCACCGCCGGAATCTGACTGGAAAATTGCGTTACGACACAGACCCGTCGGATCTGTGTCGTAACGCGTAGATCTGGCATTTTTTGGCAAGATCCATGGCTGATCTGGCCGAAAAAGGCCAGATCTACGGCCAGATCTGGCCGTCGAGACCGGAATCTGGCCGAAAAATCGTGTTACGACACAGACCCGTCAGATTTGTGTCGTAACACGTCGATCTGGCAATTTTCGGCCAGATCCGTGGCTGATCTGGCCTGAAAAGGCCAGATCGACGTGTTACGACATAGATCCGACGGGTCTGTGTCGTAACACAATTTTTCGGCCAGGCCAGAATCTGGCACTGCTGTGGTGGGGTTGTTTTTGTTATTTTATAAAATTTGTATATATTGGGGTATTTAGTCAAATTAGCAAACCTAGGGGGTTTTAATTTTTAAATTTATAAAAAGCTAAAATATTAAACTTTTAAGGGTATTTTAGTCTTTTTACTATTATCAAAGGAAAATCACTAACAGAACATGATGGAAGGTACCTATTTATCATTTTAAAACCTTTTAGATACCAATTTGTTGTTTAGGCAAACCTTCGTTCTGCCTTATTGAAGAAGAAAACAAGAGTCATTACTAGTGGCTGACTTGTAGCGAACAATGGAGAACAATATCACTTGGATTGCTAGAAGAGCTTTAACATCACTCACTAGCACCAATAGCTCAACTCTTAACCTGCGGAGCTACTGTTCATCATCTTTATCTTCCTCTTCCTCTTCCTCTTTCCCGTCTCCTCCTCCTAGCCCTAAACTTTTTGTTGCAGGTACCTTCTGCATATTTACATATATATGATTATTATGATTATTTTACTCAATGCATTGTTGGGTATTGAAGGTTTGTCAAGTTCAGTGGATGAGAAGTCCTTGAAAGACGCTTTCTCTTCCTTTGGAGACGTCGAAGAAGGTAAATTAATATCTTGACACCTCAACATGTAATATGGCCGCGCCTTAACCTAAACAACGTCAATGTGTTTGATCAATTGTCTGAATGACCATATTTGATAGTTCTAAACAAAGGCATCATGGTCAAAGGGTTTGATATCATATCATACCAAGTATTGGCTTTATTACAAAATGCTCTTTTACAATTTATGCATACTGGAATGCTAAATTATCCCAAACATTTAAGTTTAAATTGAATCAACAATGTTTTTAAACTTAAACAGGATAGAGTTTTCTTGTGTTTTTGTTCTTTGATTATAATACTGAAAGGCATTAAATTTTTCATTAGAAGAAAAAACTCAATAAGAGTCACTAGGTTGTCATTTATTATAATTATTGTGCATACAAACTAGACTTTCTAACGTGAATTATACACTCAAAAAACTTTAGCAGTCACCACTTTTGTTCATGAACTGACCCCTTGCATATTTTTTGGTCGTGTATGGTATTCTTTTCTGATTCAACCATTGCGATAACTTCATAATGGGTCACAATGAGACGGGTACCATGGCATGAGTTTGCAAATAATTTGCAACATATTTGGTGTGCAGTCACTGAATCATTTATTAATTGACTAAATGAGTTGAATATATCCGAACTAAGCAAGGAGATGTTAACTTCTTAATATCTATCTATAGAGCATTGAATCACTTGAAGGGTTTTTTTTTGTTTTGTTTTGGTTATTATCGTCCTTTACTTTTAATCTGGACTCAAGTGTGTTGGATTTTCTATGGTGCCAACTATATGAATACGATAGTTGATAAAGTTACTAATTCCAGCAAATGTTGTGTTTCAGTTAAGATAATATATGACAAAGACACTGGGAGGTCAAGATGCTTCGGATTTGTTCATTTTTCTAAAGAGAATGATGCTGAATCAGCAAAAAGTGCCATGGATGGAAAAGTAAGGGATAAGCAAAGAATAAAGATTGCTTGAAGTTGAAGTAATCTTCTCATATCATTTTTGTCAAAATTGAAAACTACTGCATTACTGAGATGGTTTTGGTTGCAGGCATTGATGGGTCGACCATTAAGGATAAGGTTTGCTCTACAAAGGGTACGGGGTCAACCCATTGTTGTCCCACGCCTCACAAACGTTGGAGACTTCACCAGTCGCAATAAATGAACAATTTGAACTCTTTATGAACAAATTTATATCCTTGTTTATTCGGTGGTAGAGAATGATTATCTGAGAGCACACGATGCAGTGTGTAATAGCAAGGTTTTGGGATATGAATGAGTTTAATTTCTTTAAGTTTTATTCAGTAATTTAATTCTTTATGGGATATAAACTTATAATTTTTTTAAATTTTAACGATTATATTTTCTTGAATATATCTCCTTCAACTAAATCATTTCACTATTTTTTTGACGTCTTTCGTTATGCCAATACGCTAGTATATCAGATATTAAAATCTAATACTAATTTTTATATTAATTAAAAACTAAAATCATTAATTTAATGGAGGATTAAATCTACAAGCAATCGATATAGATTCCTGTTAACTTAATTGGAGGAGAAAAATTATGTTTATACGGCACGAAGTATTATCGCAAGGCCACGTCTCCACCTCTACGACTCCAAAACCCTGTCGTTTTGAGTCACCGCAAGCTCACGCATGCTTATATTATCGATCCATTTCTACTTTCACAATCCAATTGTAGCGAAACGAATCGAATCAGATCAGAGTTGGATCAACAAATCAATCAATGGAGAACTCAACACAAGAAGAAACCAACACGAACTTAATCAACTCTTTCATGGAGATCGCGTCATCCACTAAACAAGAAGCTCTTTTCTTCTTGGAGTCTCATCAGTGGGACCTTGACGCTGCCGTTTCAACTTTCTTAGACGACGCCACTGCCACTGCCACCGCCGCCGCCGCTGTTACTTCGCAACCCGACGCCTTCAATCTCCCTGCCGTTAACTCTCCCTCGCCGTCACTGTCTCACCAGTCGCCGTCTACGTCTCCCTCTGCGTCTCTGTCTCGCTCTCCGTCGAGGTCTCGCTCTCCCTCCCCGGCTCCCGCTCGCGAACCCTACCAACTGCGCTCGCGCCGCCGACCGGAGAGGAAGGAGGATAAAAAGGCGTCGGGAACGCGTGGCGGGATTCGGACACTTGCTGATCTCAATAGGACTCCTCCTGGTGGCTCCGGTAGTGACGACGATGAGCCACAGCAGTATTATACTGGTGGTGAGAAGAGGTATATTGAATGCTTAGCTTTTAATTGTCTCTAATTTTCTATTCTGTTTTTAATTTTGCGAAATCGAGAATTTGTTTGTTTAGGATTGTGGTTTAGCCAATCAATGTGGTTTGCTATCAATGTTTATCTTGCTTAAAGAATGAGAATTTATGATGCTTTATGTATTAGGGTTAGCGTCTAAAGTCCAAGGCATATACAAATATTTTCTTGTATCTGTATAACTTCTGCAAACAAAATTTTGTAAGTTCCAGTTTGAATGGTCGGAATCTATGCTAATGCTTTTGGGAAACACAGCTTTTACATAATCAATTTATTCTTTCTTGAGAAACATTCTCTTGAAGAGGCGTCTTTGCCTTGATTATGATATGTTTCGTGGAACAAAACAATTTTTTGTTGAACCACAGTTGGTGGCTATTAAATTTTTTCAGAGTATTGGGACTCAAACTGCTTCTTAAATCGATGTAGTAATTGATTTGTCACAACTACTTGTATGATAGGATGAAGCAACAATATCTTATCCTTGAAAAAGTTATAGGATGCTAAAATTTGTAATTAAGTTTGTAAAAGTAGCTGCATTACTTATTTTCTAATGGCCAAAAATTGTTCTTTTTTTTCTACATCATGGAAAAAAAACTTCTCTGCATTGTTACACATACAAGTAGCCAATTATGAAGCATGTGTATTCCACTCTCATTGATGTGAAATACCCTCATTGGCTGGTTGTATTTGCAACAGTTTAGAAAACTTTCTCCTCATTATGATAGAATTCACTGAACCCAGACTTTATAAGCTTCATTATGACAGCTAGATGCCATCCATTTTATTTAGAATATATTATAAAATGTTCCTGTAATATATGATCTTCTAAATTTTAATTTATAAATTTTAAAAAAAAAAAAAAGAAGAAAAGGTTGATGCAGAAGCTTATTGGAAGATGGATTGATCAAATATTCATCAGAACTCGTTTTTGAGGATGGGAAAAGAATTTCTCATGATGCGGTTGACTTTTGAATATCTATATATTTGTTTTGCATGATACATATGTATAACACATCCCATTTATGGTTTGTAGCCAAGTTGGTTTGGTATCTCTCTTCTAGACAACAAGTATTCATATTAGACATTGAATTTGTTGGTTATTTATTGTTTTAAAATTGTTATCCTGGCTACAGTGGAATGCTGGTCCAGGATCCTACCAGAGGCACTGATATTGATGTGGATACAATATTCAATCAAGCTAGACACTCAGCTGTAGAACCACCCTTGGATCACCATCAACCATCTTCTAGCTCAAAGGCCTTCAGTGGAACAGCAAGATTACTCACTGGGGAGACGGTCCCATCTGCTCCTTCTCAACCGTCTCAGCCTGAAGAAGTTGTTCACAACATTACTTTTTGGAGGAATGGATTCACTGTGGATGATGGTCCACTACGGAGAATGGATGATCCTGCAAATGCATCCTTCTTGGAGGTAATATGTTTTCCAAGTGGTACTGATTTTTCTTATTCTTTCATGATTTGCCTATCAGCATGCTTTTAAAGTTTCCTATAAATACCAATGCCTACAGATGTAGAAGTCTCGAATGAGTTTACGCAAGTTGAGGGCTTTAAGGGACTTTTAACTTGACCATTACATTCAACTTCTATATGAAATAGTAGATACCTGTTGTACAGAAATTAAATAACTTTTAACTCAGATTTTCCCTGTAGTCGTATTCCACGTCTCATACTGTGGGTAGAAAACTAATTTTTCCTCTCAAATAAAGGAAGTTCTATTCAAGGTTTATACGATTGAAGTCATTCAGTTCTGTATCTATATGATTTTCTTGCTTCTACTAGAGTTGCTGTATTCATACGAATTGGTTGCATCTCAATGCAGAGCATTATGAGATCTGAGTGTCCAAGGGAGCTTGCTACTCCAGATGGGAGAGGGGGTGTGCATGTTCAGCTCAATAAGCGGGATGAAGAGTACTCTGTGTGTCTTTTTTCCCACTTAGATTCTGTCTTTTTTATTTTTATGTTCTGTGCATTATCATTAAACATTCCTTTACCACCTGTTTCATGCAGGAACAACCAAAGCGCCGGTCTTCTTTTCAGGGTGTAGGAAGAACTTTAGGTAGCAGTGCCACCCCTGCCGAAACTGTCTCTGAACCAAGTGCTGGTGTCACTTCCTTGACCAGCGCTCCATTGCCATCATTGGGTCTGGTTGTGGATTCATCATCACCAACTACTTCAATTCAGCTAAGATTAGCAGATGGTACTCGCATGGTTTCCCGCTTCAACTACAACCATACAATCAGAGATATTCATGCCTTCATTGATGCATCTAGACCTGGCGGCTCAAGGAACTATCAATTGCAGGCAATGGGGTTCCCTCCCAAGCAACTAACTGATCTGAACCAAACAATAGAGCAAGCCGGTATAGCCAATTCAGTGGTTATCCAGAAACTCTAGTGTATTTGTCTTCTTCTCCTGCATTTTACTCTCTCTCTCTCTCTCTCGTCTTTTTTTTTTTTTTTTTTTCATTTGAAGTCTTAACTTCAGTCATACTTGCTTAGTCAATCTATGGGATTTTATTCATCATCTTAGAGATAAAGGTTTACATTAGCTGTGGATTTCTCAGTTTTCCTTTGGTCTTTAGAATGACTTGATGATTCACAACTCCATTTTAAGATGGGGCAAACGTGCCATTTGATCGAAGATACATGTCCCATATAATTAATGTTGTTACTGTATTCTGCAATTTTGTCTATGACATGTATTGGTGGTGTCCAACTCGAGACGGATTGGGAAACGCTCTCCGTCATAGCCAAGGTAAGTATACTTACATCGAAAATTAATCAATTTGACCGCTGGCAAAGCATTTATAAATTTCTGATGAAAATTTAGTACCAAACTTAAATTATGATTAATTATTTGTTAGTGTATTTTTTAAATTTCAAAGGAAAAAAAAAAAAAAAAATATATATATATATATATATATAACAAACAAGTATTGCGTATTCACTTCTTTCAACTGTAATGAAATCGAACTGAGTGGAATATGAGAAATCTAGAGAATAGAGTGGGTTGCAACTTATCCTCTTATCGTAATTTCGATTGGTTCATAGCAACCAAATTATCTCTTCTCACCATGTAAAAAAGAAGCTAACAGTTTCTCTGTATCTGTAATCCGTTCAATCAATTTCAACCTTCCATGTATAAAAACCTCTTAACTCTAGCAATGTTTTGTGTATCGTTAACACTTTCATTGGCGTAAAATAAAGACTAAAAAGCAGAGTGTTATCTCATGTCCAAAAAAATAAATAAATAAAGAAAAAGGGTGTTGAACAGGACCAGAAAGGAGACATTCGTAGTGTCCCACTAACTTTATCAGCTTTAATTTCTCTTTTCTCTCAGTTTCTCATATCCCTAAGTTTACCTTTCCCACCCTGAATTATTGCTACTAGACTACTCCTTCTATCGATTGGACCTCATGAGCCCCTGTAACATGAACATGGCTGTTAATTCTAAGCCAAAGGGAGAATGTCTTCAAACGCCGTCGTTACATTAACCTACGTTCACCAACTGTTTCTTGTGCCTGGGGTCATCTTTGTTATTTTTTGTCTTCCTAAAGGTGAAACAAAGGGAGAAGACTGGAAAATCCAAGGGAATAATAAACTGATGGACGGTTGAGATTTGATCAGCATCAATTACTACGTATGTTTAACAGCTAAGACCATGTACAGGTATTTTGTCATCCAAGACCAAGAGCAGAGATAGACCTTTCCTTCCCATCAATCCTTTCAAGCTTGCTTGTCATCCATACTTGATGGCTTGATGCTCTCCATAAACCATAGTTAATTACTTAATTTATCACTCTCTCTCTCTCTCTCTCTATTGCTTCCACTATGTGCCAGTATACTACTAGAGTCTAGTGCATCAGTGGCAGTGCAATACACGAGGTGAAACTGCCTTTCATTGGGAAGGAAAAGCTCAGTCAGATTTACAGAGGCGCACGTTAACACACCGTGCACCTCTCGCTTGTGTGTGTTTTTTATGAACGAGATACTGTTTTTGTTCAGATAGAAAAGAGAGTACTGAACCACCCATTTCCAAGGGAAGTCTTCTGAATCTAACTTTTACAGATCATACAAGGAGAACAAAAGAAAAGAAAAACCTAATTTTTACGGATTTTCTGTCTTTTGTAAAAGAAAACTGATTGTGTTAGCTAGAAAACCGGGAGTGCTCTTCGGAGACACAACAGTCTTTCTGTAGATAAAAGAAAGATTTGCTGTGCCTGTGTTTAGATAGAAATATTGCATGGTTTTTGATCAGTGGCATAACAAGCCTGAAATAGAGAGAGAAAGAAAGAGAATGGAAAGAGGATCTTGTAGTAGCAGTAGCAAGGCATGTTCCAATCTCAGTAATGGAGTTTCTTCTTTGTTGATGATCAATAATTCTGGTTCTGGAGCAGGAACAAGTGATAAGGCGCTGTTTCCTACGTTGAATGGAAACAATTATAATAGCGAAAAGGTACCAGCTGGTTTGATGCCTCAAGACAGTACTGGTACTGGATGTTTCACTCACACCACCAACATTACTTCCATGAAGGCTAAGATTATAGCTCATCCTTACTTCCCTCGACTCTTGGNACAGAGGCGCACGTTAACACACCGTGCACCTCTCGCTTGTGTGTTTTTTTTATGAACGAGATACTGTTTTTGTTCAGATAGAAAAGAGAGTACTGAACCACCCATTTCCAAGGGAAGTCTTCTGAATCTAACTTTTACAGATCATACAAGGAGAACAAAAGAAAAGAAAAACCTAATTTTTACGGATTTTCTGTCTTTTGTAAAAGAAAACTGATTGTGTTAGCTAGAAAACCGGGAGTGCTCTTCGGAGACACAACAGTCTTTCTGTAGATAAAAGAAAGATTTGCTGTGCCTGTGTTTAGATAGAAATATTGCATGGTTTTTTATCAGTGGCATAACAAGCCTGAAATAGAGAGAGAAAGAAAGAGAATGGAAAGAGGATCTTGTAGTAGCAGTAGCAAGGCATGTTCCAATCTCAGTAATGGAGTTTCTTCTTTGTTGATGATAAATAATTCTGGTTCTGGAGCAGGAACAAGTGATAAGGCGCTGTTTCCTACGTTGAATGGAAACAATTATAATAGCGAAAAGGTACCAGCTGGTTTGATGCCTCAAGACAGTACTGGTACTGGATGTTTCACTCACACCACCAACATTACTTCCATGAAGGCTAAGATTATAGCTCATCCTTACTTCCCTCGACTCTTGGCTGCCTATGTCAATTGTCAAAAGGTGAAGAATTAACCATTCTTAACTTTGAAGTTACACAAAACCCATAATTACCCAATTAATCGGTGTGCAAATCTGAGATTTTTGTATACAAATATTTTGTACGTTGGTTTCTGTAAATTAACAGTGTCCCTTTGGAAGTCAATTTTGTCATATCTTCACTCCTCTCTCTCATGGTTCTTAATTGCAGATTTGTACTAGCCTTTCTCTGAATGATGTATAAGTTGATCTCTTTGAATTTTCATCCACCTAAAAACCAATGATTTTTGTTTGTTATAATTGTTTTGATGTGAGAGGACGAATAAATTATCTCAGGTTGGGGCACCTCCTGAAGTGGTAGCTAGGTTACATGAAGTCTGCGTTTCTGGGGAAGCCATGAATAGTTCATCTGTAACAACGTGCTTAGGTGAGGACCCAGCACTTGACCAGTTCATGGAAGCTTACTGTGAAATGTTAATCAAGTATGAGCAAGAGCTTACAAAACCTTTCAGAGAAGCCATGTTTTTCCTCTCAAAGATCGAGTACCAGCTCAAATCCCTAACTGTTTTTTCCACCTCTGGTAATTAACGAAACCCTCGACTTCTTCGTTTTCCTTATGTCCTTTAACTAATGGGGTTCTGTGGTTAGAAAGGACATCTCCTTGAAATATGGCATGTATTTAGGGTACGGAAAAGGGTAAACAAGTGCTATTAGGGTTAGCTTGATATCTATAGCTTTGATTCTCTTTTCTTTGTCTCTATGTGTGTAGAACTGAGAAGTGAGAAGCTGCTAACTTATTTTGTCTTTTTCTAATGTGTTTAATCCTTTCAGGAGTGTACTTTCACCCTATAACCTGTTCCTTTGCTTCTTGTTTTGAAGGATCTGAGAAAAAGGGTCAACTGCAAAACAAAATAATTTATATGTTAGTTCAGTTTATCTTTTAATTATTAGCTTGTTATGGTAAGTAGGATGACTGAAATGAATTTGATGTTCACATTTAATTTGTCTAGGGGACAAGTAACTTTTATATACAGCTGAATTAAATTTGACGAGGTTAATCTATCAAAATTCTTTAGTGGGGACAAAATTTCTTAATTAATGATTAAGATTTTAAGAGATAGATATTTGTTTTGTTTTTAATTAATTTAAGTATTTTTTGAACATCAAATCATTCTCTCTCTTATCCACCCATGGGCCCATAGGTTTTTATTTCAGCTTGAACCTCCTTAACCCTATGTTGCTGCTATATAATAAGATAGAATTAGTTGTATTGTCCAAGCTTGAACAATATTGTTCAAGGCATCTAACTATTTGATTTTGACAGTCTGAAGACAACTGAGCTAATACGGCTACCTTATGTGAGGTTTTGTCTTTGTCCATACGCGCACCGTGAATATTCCTTGGTTCAAATGAGCATGCATATGTTCATCCTTGTGTCATTTTGGAGATTGTATAGTCGTAGAAATAGAGTCCATTAACGTTTTGTTGATTTCTAGTATGAACAGCTAAAAGCCTACTCTTCTATGAGGGAGGCGAGGAAAATCTCAGCCCAGATTAGTCTTAAAATTTGGTTTGGGAGGATTTTAGATAAGGATTGGCGATTGTGTTTACAATAAACTTACCAAACTTTCGAGTACTGAGATAGACATAGCACATAATCTTTATATTTTTTCAGTAAAAATATGTTAATAACATGCAACTTTTCCTTTATCATCAACATAACCACTTCTTTAATTGGTAGTTCTAAAAATGAAAATATAAAGTTGTATGTTTTAATTGGAGTCATGATATACATACTCATCCTACCAGAGACTCCTAAAGCAGATGCATGTCCAGGTCTAGCATCCTGTAGTGTTAGCTCTTTCAGTAATTGAATATACTAATTTGTCTACTTTCACATCTGTTGAACCAGCCCTACCTCAAGTGTATAGTAGAGTTGTTACCTTGAATAATTATAGATATCCGGAGCTGTGGAAGCTATATTGTCTTCACTTGCATGCCTTCAATTTAGGCGGGAGAAGTGTGTTTAATTTTATGTTCTTAAATTATCTTGTCAATTATCATTTTGTGTTATCTAGTGCCTCCCATTACTAAATCTTTACTATTAATGCAGAGTGAGACATGAGGGATTTCTTGGTATCAAAACCCTACATATAAAGATCCTACTTTTAGTGGCTAAATCGGTTTCAACTGTAATATAAAAGGAGGAATTTTTTTTTTTTAAAATAAAGCAATTTCTAGTTTATTTATGTAAAAGTTGGCAACTCTTATACATGTGAAATGAGTTTGCTCATTTCAACTTCTGTTTAATTTCTGCATGCTTAAATTCTTTATAATTAGATGGCATAGTTTAAGTTCTTTGTGTTCATTTTAATTAATATATGTCAATGCATCTTGCTCATGTGTTCATGGGGCTTCTGGGGTTTGCTATGATGTGGCTACTGACGCAATAATCCACTTATTTACCTTGAATTCACCAGCCTGTGAGTATTGCTGTAAATGCATCAACTAATGCATGCATATAAACATATGCTTGCCTACTATTTACATATGTTATGATTTACTTATGTTGATTTTGCAGTTCAAAATACATCTTCCGAGGAAGAGGTTGATTTGAATGACTTCTGCATTGATCCCCTAGCTGAGGACAGGGAACTGAAAGGTCAGCTTTTGCGCAAGTATAGTGGATATCTGGGCAATCTCAAGCAGGAATTCATGAAGAAAAAAAAGAAAGGGAAATTGCCAAAGGAAGCGCGCCAGCAGTTGTTAGATTGGTGGAACGTACATTACAAGTGGCCTTATCCATCGGTATCACTACATTTCTTCCGTTTTATATATGCTTAGTGCCCATACGTTTAATTGCTTAGATGTTCTTTGCTTTTTGTCTGCTGGTAGGGCTTTTGCTTTATAGAGTAAGAGGTGACATGTTTGACTTGCAGGGATATAGACATAGGAGTAATTATAATACAACTAATTTTCAGTAGTCTTCTTCCTTTCACCTGCAATACAGTATCTGTCTCAGGCCAGTTTTATTAAAGTGTCATTAAAATCAATGGGATTTAACCGGAGCTGTAAGATAACCTGTTCAATATACAGTAACAATAAGACTGTATCTCTTGTTGACTTGAACAGATGCGTACAAAAAAGAGAAATCAATGAAAATACTGCTGAAATGGCCGTTTGCATACAGTATCTTACTCAACTCATACTGTCTTGTGGCTTTTCTGACCATGGTGATCTACTAATTACTTTCTTAAAATCATTGGTTTATTTTCTTGAACAGCCTCAACAGTTGAGTTTGTGATCTGTATTTGCCCGTATTTGACCTCGGTTTGTAAATCGTGTGCATCATCTATGCACTTATTGTTGTAATGTAACTCTCTTATATGTTACAATTAATGTCTGCATTGGCACAACTTATGAATACTTTATAGTTTTGCACAGGTGATTTAAACCAAGTACTTAATTAGTTCAAGGTGACATTGTAATCTTATTTTGATGCAGGAGTCACAAAAGCTAGCGCTTGCTGAATCTACTGGCCTTGATCCGAAACAAATTAACAACTGGTTTATCAATCAGAGGAAGCGTCACTGGAAGCCTTCAGAGGATATGCAGTTTGTTGTGATGGAGGGTGGATATCCCCACTACTATTTGGAAAATAATGTTATGGGTAATCCCTTCTCCATGGATTGCAATCCGACACGCTTTTGACGACATTTTTCTCTTCTTTTCAAATAATTGTGTTTCAAAACACCAGTACTATTCTCTATGTTAACCTTTTTGGAATGTATTTAGCTGTACCATTCAAATTAGATGAATTATGAATGGACAAGAAAGGGATTGCTACTACCCATCAGGGTTGTCCCTTACATTGTAGAATAATACAAATCTATCACAACTTGATGTCTATTTTTCAGTACGTTGCTTATGCGTGATCTATTAAATGATTCATAGTTAACCAACATTGGCTCGTGTAATTTTCATTGGACCTCAAATCATCGGTGGTTTCATATGATCTTGCCTCCTAGTTTCCATCTTTCTACTGGATTGGCCTCGCATATCTTGTCATGAAATAGCTGTTCCAGTGGCCACATCTTTGCTTCTGTGCAGACTTATGTGCTTGGCTAGCTACTTAATTTCAACCTCATTATACGTGATGTTTGTCACATTAATCATGCAGTAATGTGATATATAATCGCATGTTGGATTTGTAAGTGCTCTTTAAGTTAATGGTTATTATCATTTTTGAGTTTCACATTGATCAGCCTGATGCTACTTAAAATTTTATGGGATATTGATTTTAAAGTACAAGTGAGGGTTTTGATATAATTTTATGATAATGTTCCAGTAGATGAGCATGAGATTGAGATTTTAGTCAAACCTCCTGTTCAGAAATTCTTTTATGTCATGTAAAAGAATTAATTAAAAACAAATTGAATCTGCGGCAGCTTCGGCAACTGTTCTTTGAAAAAGGGCCATCTAATATAAAATTTAAATAACTATAGATTATATCTTATCTTTTTCAATCTACGTCTCACTATATACTTAGAAATGGGTTTCAGTTAATCAACTTCAAGTAGAATTGCTTTTCTAATGATGTAATTAAGATTATAATACGTTGCCATAGTACATCAGATATAGATAAATGTATTTTTTATTAAAGGAGCCACTTTCTCAGTAATGTCCTCGTAAAATGAATAAAATTTAATCAATCCCTAACATTTGAATTTTCTCTTAGCAAATTACCAAAAAAAAAAAAAAAAAAAATTAGTATTTATTATTTAGATTGTTTTGTCGACAGCAACATTTTGGGATTATGGAAATAGAAAGACAACAGAGTCACAAAAACAGTAACGACAGAACACATAAATTAAATAGTCAGTAATGCTCATGCATGCATGAATCACTCACTAACTGGATCATCTATGGTGCTGACGTGTCATCCCCACTGTTCCTCTTACTTCTTTCTTTCTCAACATTCAACTAAACCTTTTCATCTCTTTCCAATTTCCATAACCACTTCCTAGGGTTTCCCTGTTTCTCTCCTTAACGTAAAACTACACAAAGCCCTTTCAATCAAATTAACCAATTTTAATTTTTCAATACATTTCACTCGCATTGTTTTCCTCCAAATCCAATTTTTCATGGCAAAAACTAAACCTGGCAAAAAGGACCTTGATTCTTACTCTATCAAAGGCACCAACAAAACTGTTAGACGTGTGTATATTCTCTTTCTCTCAATAACCCATATTTTACTTTTTATTTTCCGCTCCAAAAACCCTAAATTTATCGTTTTTCTATTCAATTCTACGAACCCAATTTTTTTTGTTTATGGGTCTTTTAGTATTGAATTATAATCCCACTTTTTATTTTATGTTTTATGACTTGGGATTACTTAATTTTCTGTTTGTTCTATGTTTACAGCTGGTGATTGTGTGTTGATGCGACCATCGGATTCCGATAAACCACCATACGTGGCACGCGTTGAGAAGATCGAGGCCGATCATCGGAACAACGTGAAAGTTCGTGTTAGGTGGTATTATAGACCTGAAGAATCCATCGGAGGGCGGAGACAGTTTCATGGAGCCAAAGAGTTGTTTTTATCAGACCACTATGATGTGCAAAGTGCCCACACAATTGAAGGGAAATGTACAGTGCACTCTTTCAAGAACTACACTAAGCTTGAGAATGTTGGTGCAGAGGATTATTTTTGTAGGTTTGAATATAAGGCTGCCACCGGAGGGTTCACTCCGGACCGTGTTGCTGTGTGAGTTTGCATGTTTTGTGGTTCTTCTGATTGGTTTTTCACGTTCACGGTTTTGTGTTTTTGCCTGGTTTTGATGATTTTGGTATATTTAATTTTGGAACTAATTATGTCATTTGGGGTTTGATTTTGTAGGTATTGCAAGTGTGAGATGCCTTATAACCCGGATGACCTGATGGTGCAGTGTGAGGGGTGCAAGGATTGGTAAAGTTGTTGCATTTTTCTGTTTATGTAATTAGAATGATGGTATATAATTTGTTCTGTTTTTATCCATTTGAATGGTGTAGGTGAGATATGTTTGAGTAAGTGATTTTGTCATCATAGAAGTTACTTGAGTTTTAAATGAATGGTATGATTTACCCTGTTTGGTTTTCTTAATTTCTTTCAGTGATGCTGTTAAGGGACTATTTTTGGAATTAATGCTGAATTTTCTTTCAATTTTGTCTTGCTGCATCTTTAACCTGCATATGTTTTGCTGAATTTAATGATTGTGTCGATCAATTTTTCATGTAGAGTGGTGTTGCTGAGATTTATGTGTGTCTCAGTTTTAAATGGCAATTGGTGCATTTAATTGTTGCTAATTATCTGAATGCCGTAGTGCTTTGTTAAGACATAAGTTCATAAGCTGATTAACAGTCCTCTTGGTATTCTATAAGATTTTGTATTTAATGTATGAGAATCTTTGTCTTTCATGCTATTGCTCTATAGGAACTAAAGATAATTAATATAAAATCTGCACAGGATTTAATAATGTTAAGGCTACTGTTTTCTGGGTACAATTAGCTGCCACACTGTTACCGTATTATCAAAATTTCCTGATATTTCTGTCATGCATCCTTAGTTACACATTTGAGGATAATATTTAGTAATTTCTTCTGCCTCCTGTACTCCAAATCAAAATATTAACCATTTAATTATCCTGAACTTGGTCTGTATCTATCATACATGGTGCACTGTTACTTGTGGAGTTTCTCATGTCAGCTTTTTTGTTTTGCAAGTTCATTATCTTTAGTTGAAAATATCCTGGCAGAGGTGAAATTTGGATCAAAATTTAAATGTGAATTGAGAAGTGTAAAATCTTTACAGTACTATCTTTACACTTCAACTTACATAGTGAGGGTTTTTTTTTTGTTCATTTATGAAGATTTGAGACTTTTAATTGCATTATACTTGTCTAACAATTAGTGTCTACCTTGATTTACGTGAAGAGCCGAGCTAAGTATGTGAAAGGGGCTCTAGATTTAAGATATATTGTAGACAATATGTTTTTTTTATTGTACTTTACATCTGATTGGTATTATATATTGCATGACGGAATTATACATTTTAGGTGAATCTTTAGGCCACTTTGAGGAAGAGTTGGTCTAAATGATGGAAAGATATTTAACTTAATGAACTTGAGTGCCGAGTCTTAAACTTTCACATTCATTGCATCTTAGACATATTACTAGGAGCTATTTGGAGCTGATAAACTGGTTGTTTATGTTGGCTTTGCATTTTACTTCAAGAGAATTTGAAGACACAGACACACGATTAAGTATAGTATCCAGGATCAACTAACCATCACATGAGATGGTTAATGTATTAACATGGGATTTTATACCAGTTTAACTTGTTCTGAAGGCTTTATTGTAAACTAAAAAATTGTATAGTACTCTATTCTGAAATTTAGAATGAGAAATGTATCTCATGTGTTCTTCATCGTGTTGCATTGTCTGTAATTTCCCGAGTATGTTTTGTCTTTTCTTTGGATTTGTTCTTTGTAATTTGATTTTTATGATGCAGTTTGCCCGTGAGAGATTTATATCTCTGCTTTTGGTGGTCATTGCTCTCTTTACTTCAAAAGTTATATAATCTGTGGTAGTAATGTTGAAGATATTGATGGTGATCTTGTTTCCTGATGACATTTTTTATATTTTCAGGTTTCATCCTTCTTGTATGGGCATGACCATCGAAGAAGCAAAAAAATTGGATCAGTTTCTGTGCTCTGATTGTTCATCGGATGATGATGCCAAAAGATCTTTGAATGCGTTCCCAGTATCCCCATCTGTCGAGGCTAAGGTGTGAGCGCTTTATGTCCACATTTTGTTGTTCCTCTCTCTGTGGTTGATTGTAGTCAAGACAAAAACTAGTTGGCTATTATCTCCAGCTTTCCTTATTTCAACATTTAAGATATGACTATATGAGTATCACTCTCACATGTTAGGTTGGTTCGCCCACCATTTTGATCCTTTTTTACAGTTTTGCGACACTCTGTGGCACCCAGATTTGTTGGCTCAGATGGAGCTAATATGGGTTCTGATTAAATTTAGGTCATATTTATTGTGGAAGTTTTGATTGCAATAGATGATTTCTGTTTGTTTGTGGCCCATTTGAGTGAGGTCAGGTCAGTCACAGGCCAGTTTCTGGCACTAATGATATATAAGTTTAAGAAAGGGTTCTCCCCTTGGACGAATACCCATTCTGATTGTGATTCTTTTTTTTTCCCTTCTGGTGGTATTATGGGCAGTACAGTTTCTTAAGGACTTTCATGATTGCTAGATGTGTCACATGGAAAAGAGTCAACATTTTACAATTTTTTTTTTATTGTATCAGCTTTGCGCTTACACATGTTTCAATCTAATGTCTCGTGCCAAATGAGCATGGAGCAAAAAGCTTGTATGACAAATTTGTGACCAACAGAACACTGATCTCTGTTCACTTATTTCTATGCTTGATTGATGTCGATTGAATGTTAGTGCCTGCATGGCCAAATGCCCTTGTTTCCCGTTTCCCAAAGATTGTAGGGTTCAGCAGGGGCTTTAGTTTCGAACTTGAGCTTGCAAAGCAAGTGCGGAGGATTTCTGGACTATCAAAAAAAAAAAAAAAAAAAAATTATATGGATTCAAATCCATTTAGGTTTTGGAACCATGCTGATGTGGATTAGTGTCCCTATATTTACTCTGTTACTGGTTATCTGGGTTGAAGTATGGTTTCTGTACAAAACCTAATGTATAACAAGTAAATTAAAGTTGGTGTTTTGCCCTCTGGGAAATGAAATAGTTCCCTGGGAGCTGCATAGGTTGTGCAAAAGATTGGTGTCTTCAAGTTGTAGTTAATTTCATTTCTTGAAACCCCAGTATAATCATGCATCAGTCATTTTAGCTCCAATGAAACTTATATATGTTTATTTTTAAGTATTGTAAGGAAAACAAGAGAATTGGCTTGTTTACTAAAGGGGTCGGTAAATTCCTGTAAGAACAATCTTACATGTGTCCTATTTTGTGTTAAAATGTTTACATGCCTTGATTACAAATGAACTGCTGTTGCTTTTTCTCTTTTTAATGAAATGTGGTCTTGTCTTTGATTTTCTTGCTAGGTGGAGACAAAGCGTAGAAAAAGATGACCAAGTGATCATGATGCATGATGAGGAGGTACTGATTTTGTTGCACATTAGCTCCAGCATTGCTATCGTTCTCATCTTTGTGTTGTGGAATTGTACAGTGCAGAGAAGATACTGTGCTTACACAAACCAGAGGCTTTTCAAATTTACCATGTCTCAAAGTTTGTATGTGTGCTAGACTTTAGAGATGACTTTTTGTTATGTGATGTCTTGGTGATTAGAATCTGTGCATAATAGTGCGCTTATCTATCTTAAGAAGTAAACCTATGAGTCCATGACAACACATTAAAACTAGGGGAAACTATGGATTTGTTTTGACGTGCTTGTTGCTGGCATAATTTCTGCAAATAATGTTATAATGGCTCTGCTTATTTTTTTGGGCTTGAAAACACTCAGCATTCGCAGGAAGATTCCAAGATTAACGTTGCAGCTTACGTCAAGTGCTTTGAAAGTGGATTAAGATATAGATATACAGCTTTGTACATATTTTTACTAGTAGGAACAGGCATAAAGGTGTAATGTATAGAGTGAACCAACCGTTTGACAGAATCGATTGATCATAGTTTGGAATGGTTCAGAATGATGAAGTGGTGGATGACATTCAGTTAATTTTGTTTAGGTTTGCTTAATCCTCTCCTCGGTTTGAATTTGTAATAAGCACCAACTGTTTAACGGGGTGCTGTGCTCAAGAGTTGAAGGGTATGGTTTTGTGACTCATGAACTTTGCACCTCAGGTGTTCTTTCATATGCTGTATCTTGTGGTAATAGAGTTTTCATTTTCAGGGATGTAGAGAACCCATTTCTTGTTTGCCACACTCCGTACAGGTCACAGGGCACTGCTTAGGACTGTAAACGAGCCGAGCCGGCTCGCGATAAAAGCTCGTTTAGAGCTCGGCTCGATAAGGCTCCGTTCGACTCGACTCGAACTCGGTTCGTTAACCGAGTCGAGTTCGAACACAGCCTTATCGAGCTCGATATCGAGCCGGCTCGAGCTCGAGTCTCAATTTTGAGACTCGCCAGACTCGAGCTCGACACTGTTGTAAACGAGCCGAGCTCGATAAGCCAAAAGCTCGACTCGGCTTGGCTCGTTGCCACAAGTATCTTGTTAAATAAATTAACTTGTGGGCTAGTCGGTGTGGCATTTTGTTCATTCTCTTACAGTCCTTTATTATTAATTGGGCCGTAATGAAATTCCAGCATGACTCCACTGAAAATTAAATTAGACCCAAAAAAAGAAAAAAGAAAAGAGAGATTATATATAATTGGTTTGTTTGATCTTAAACAAATTTGGGCTCTTTCTTTCTTTCAATCCACACATACTCCCTTCCAATCATGTTTTAAGACTTAATGGACTAAATAATCCAAAAATGAAGAACTTTTCTTTCTTCTCTTCCAAGGCAAAGTGATAAAGAGAAAGAAAGTGTGTATCAACCCAAGCCCGAGCGAAAGTGGCTATAGCGAGTATGTTTTATATCCACAAAAATTTGATGAACACTTTTTGGTTTACCAGCATCACGAATTTGGTAACTGCATGCATCACAAGAAACTTTAGTACTATCTTCTCACGTGTACAGCCTTTTTCTGATGGTGTATGCAACCTGAATCACATTCATATTGAAAGTGATATTTAGGTGTGTTTGGTTTACTATATAGAATAGTATTCAACTACCTATTTTGACTAAAGTAAAGTGAATATTTGTTTAATATTCAAATAAAACAATTTTCAAAATCTTATTCACTACTTTTTTTTATTTTTTTTAACTGTTGTCTCTTGCACCTTTATCCGCTCTATTTGACAACTATCTTCCTTCTTCTTTCTTCACGCATTCACCACCTAGGAAAACATCTTCATATATGTATAACATGGTGTTCTTAAATGTTATATCAACAAGCTACGGACACCAAAAAATTTGCACAAAAAATGTGTACCGGTCTACGTGTACCAGGCGCCTGATTTTTCTATCAATTTTTTTTCTAATGAACAGCGTCCATCAAATATAGACGGTCGTTCACTCGCATAGACTCCGTCCATATTATATGGACTGGGGTCATACCAGGGACATACATCCCCATTTAAAGGACGCCCGTCTATAAAAAAATACAATAAAAAAATTTGTAAAACATTAAGGACGGCCGTCCACATTATGCGGCCGTCCATTACTTTTGGACGGACGCCCACAAATAATGGACGCTCGTCTTTGACCCAAATATGAAAAAAAAAAAAAAAAAACTTTTGGGACGGCCGTCCATAAATTTTCTACATTTATCTTCCTCACTATCTATAATACCCGGAGCGAACCTAGCAAGTTCTATAAATCTGTTTCTGTAGTCCTCGACGGTCATACTCCCTTGAGTCAACATCAAGAACTCTCTCCTTTTGTTTTCTCGATAAACCCTAGGTTGATAACGATCTAGGAACTCCTGTCTAAAATCAGTCCAGGTGGGGTTGTGGTACTTTCCTTGAGCGGACTGCCACCAGCAATCAGCTCCCCCTATTAACAGAAATTCAACAAATCTCACTCTTTCCTCATCAATACACGCCATAACTCTGAATACTTTCTCAGTACCCTCTAACCATCTCGTTGCTACCATAGGATCACCACCTAGGAAAACATCTTCATATATGTATTAACATGGTGTTCTTAAATGTTATATCAACAAAGCTACGGACACCAAAAAATTTGCACAAAAAATGTGTACCGGTCTAAGTGTACCAGGCGCCTGATTTTTCTATCAATTTTTTTTCTAATGAACAGTCGTCCATCAAATATAGACGGTCGTTCACTCGCATAGACTCTCGTCCATATTATATGGACTGGGGTCCATATACCAGGGACATACATCCCCATTTAAAGGACGTCCGTCCATAAATAAAATATAATAAAAAAATTTACAAAACATTAAGGACGGCCGTCCATCCATTATGGACGCCCATCCATTACTTTTGGACGGACGCCCACAAATAATGGACGTCCGTCCTTGACCCAAATATGAAAAAAAAAAAAACTTTTGGGACGGCCGTCCATAAATTTTCTACATTTATCTTCCTCACTATCTACAATACCCGGAGTGAACCTAGCAAGTTCTATAAATCTGTTTCTGTAGTCCTCAACGGTCATACTCCCTTGAGTCAACATCAAGAACTCTCTCCTTTTGTTTTCTCGATAAACCCTAGGTTGATAACGATCTAGGAACTCCTGTCTAAAATCAGTCTAGGTGGGGTTGTGGTACTTTCCTCGAGCGGACTGCCACCAGCAATCAGCTCCCCCTATTAACAGAAATTCAACAAATCTCACTCTTTCCTCATCAGTACACGCCATAACCTTGAATACTTTCTCAGTACCCTCTAACCATCTCGTTGCTACCATAGGATCACCATCTCCATTAAATTTCTCTGCCCCTAACTTCCTAGCCCTCTCTATGGTATTCCTGTTCCTCGGATTCTCTTGTGTTTGACCACCAGTGGCACGAGCAAACAACCGGGCCAGTCTCCCAATGGCTCTCTCTATCCCAGACTCACTACTAGAAGAATGGATCTCTTGCTCCATCTCCTGACCCCCTTCGGGTGCTTCTATATGGGGTCCTTGTTCGTGGACCGTAGAAGCCTCACCCTCTAACCCCGCATTCTGATCCTCTCCTTGCCCTTGAGGATCACTTATTGCTCTCATAGATCGTGTGCGCAATTGGCCTTGTTTACGCATGATGATATCTATAAAATCAATTTAACTTGTTAGAATACAAAACATGTTAAAAAAATTTACCAAATACATTTTCATATTCAACTCTTATTCTCGTAATAATAACCCTAACTCAACTTTTTTTTTAAATCCTATTCTAAATACAGCCTTACTTTCTAAATGTTCATTTTGTACTCTTTCAAATAACCCCAACTGGGTTCACATTGAATTCCCAGACGAGACTGAGTAGACCGTACATGATGAATTTTTTGCCCTCTGGTTCTGATTTACAGTGAACAAACCAAATATGTTTAAACAAAGGGAATAAAGTACACAAATTGTTGGCATCTATTCTCTTCTGTATAAGAAATAATAGACCTGAACCTGATAAAGTTATTTTTCAAAGATGACATGAACAGCTTTAAGAATGATTCTTAACTGATGTTTTATCAGTTACCATTAACAATTCCTCAAACCCATCTTCTTTCCTCTAGAAACTTGTTAAAAGTTTATGCTCATTAGCCTCTTGATATTTCTCACCATACTACCCTTAAAAAAAGTTTGTCAATGTTCTTAAGTAAAGCATGGTTGACAATGTTATATGCCTTTGACATGGTTAGAGTCAACACATCCAAGTTGCTCAAACTTGTTTATGAATTAGTGAACAAAAACATTCATTTCAATTTAAATTAATGTATGGATTATAATTTGATGCAAATGGTGCATATTAAATTTTGTTTGGTGGCAGATTTGCTAAAATGAAGAGGGTCCCCTTTGTTTTTGGATATTCTCTAATTAATTTTGCACCGAAAGTTTGAGTAGAAATGATTTAATGATTAAGTTCAATTAAATCGTGGGAATGGTCCCTATAAAAAAATTTAGCTGAGGTTATAACATCCCATATCAAGTGAACCTCCATTAAAGCAAAGAAATTTTATTGAACGTTTAATAAATGATGACTTAAATTCATCATGAAAACTTTAGTTGGAGTTTAAGATGTTATTATAAACTACGTTCAATAAATGATGACTTTAAACATCTTTTTTTTAAGTAAAAATTAGTTAGGAGTAAGGGTATTATCACAATTTACATATGAATAATAATTTCATGACATCCGATAATGTTGTCGAATTACCCTCCCACTTAAGCTCTACGGTTATTGAATCAGTAATCACCGTTAGATTATGATCAACTTTGACCATTTAACCAAATCAAATGATGTACCGAGGCAGCAATCAGGTGTGACCCTTTTTATTTATTGAATTGTAATTTGAAAAAAATCTGAAAACAAGGATAGGAGAAGTCAGTGAGTAACCAGGTCAACACAATCTACAATCCACAGACATCAGATGACGGGAACCATTCACCTACAAATATGTGATGATCGTAGGTCCATTTTTCATCATAATCACTAGTCACACAAAAACATTCAAAAAACAAGGACATAATAGTAAATTAAGAAAAGAAATCCATCTGAAAAGTGAAAACTAGAAAGAAAGTGTTGCGAATTTTAGTTTAGTTCCAATCTCCTATCCTATGTTTTTGCTTTTACTTTGATAAACTAAACAAACCACTTTAAAAACTTGAATTTACAGTCAGAGAGAGAGGGTTTTAAGTGTTTAAATCTTTACTATAATTACAAAAATTTGATTAAATTTTTGTGTGTGTGTGTTTTTTTTTGCTGGTATATTTGTTTTTTCTTGTTTTTCATTTAATTTCCCTCTCTCTCTCTCAAAACGGTTTGGGCAAATAACAAAGCTTGCTACTGGTTAGGGTTTATCAATTGAAGATAAGATTGCTAGGGTTTTCTCTTGATTTTTTCTCTCATTCCTAGCTGTTTCTCTGATCTTTTCAACCATGTCGTCAATGTAAGTTGTTTTCCCTTCTCTATTCCTTCATTCTCTCGGTTTTCTCTTTTTTCTTCACCATCTTTTATCAAATTTTGTGGTCTTCTTTAAAAAACGCAGCTTTGAATTGTATATGCATAGACTCGTTTACGCTATTGACGTTCAATTAGGTTTTTTTTTTTTTTTTTCTTTTTAATTTCTAGTTATTCTTCACAGAAATGTGTACATTTTGAGTTGTTTCGAGATAGACAAATTTTCCTGTTGCTTGAGAAAATTTAGGTTTAAGGTTAGGGTTAGGGTTTTGTAGATATGATCAAAAACATATTGGGTAAATTGCCTAGAAAGCCCTCAAAATCATCGAACAATGACTCCAACAGTGAGTCTTTAAATTCATCTCAAGTGCCCAATTCGATAAATTTGAAGTCGGGTTCTCGCATGAACAATGGGACTATTCCCCCAACCACTAAGTCGAATCAGGGGAAGAAATCAGTTCCAACTGGGACTCAAGCAGGGTCTGGTGTTTACGAGGCTTTGCCGAGTTTTAGGGATGTTTCAAGCGCGGAAAAGCATAATTTGTTCATTAGGAAGTTGAATATGTGTTGTGTTGTATTCGATTTTAGTGACCCCGCAAAGAATCTTAGAGAGAAGGACATAAAGAGGCAAACTTTGCTTGAGCTTGTTGAATATATGTCGTCTGTAACGTCAAAGTTCAATGAGATCGCAATGCAAGAGATTACGAAGATGGTAGCTGTTAATTTGTTTAGAACATTTCCCTCTTCGAATCCTGATAATAAGGGTTTGGAAATGTATGACCCGGATGAGGATGAGCCAACTATGGAGCCAGCATGGCCGCATCTGCAGATTGTGTATGAAATTCTGCTTAGATTTGTGGCTTCACAAGAGACTGATTCCAAGCTTGCTAAAAGATATATTGACCATTCATTTGTGTTGAGATTGTTAGATTTGTTTGACTCTGAGGACCAAAGAGAGAGGGAGTATTTGAAGACAATTCTTCACCGGATTTATGGCAAGTTCATGGTGCATCGGCCATTTATCAGGAAAGCTATCAACAATATCTTCTATCGATTTATTTTTGAGACAGAAAAGCATAACGGGATTGCAGAATTGCTCGAGATTTTGGGAAGTATTATTAATGGGTTTGCTTTACCTTTGAAGGAAGAGCACAAGCTTTTCCTTGTCCGTGCTTTGATTCCTCTTCACAAACCCAAGTGTGTATCGATGTACCACCAACAACTTTCGTATTGTATTACACAGTTTGTGGAGAAAGATTTTAAGCTGGCTGATACTGTCATTCGTGGTCTTTTGAAGTATTGGCCCATAACTAATAGTTCCAAGGAGGTTATGTTCCTTGGTGAGTTGGAGGAAGTTCTAGAAGCTACTCAGGCTGCAGAATTTCAGCGATGCATGGTGCCCCTCTTCTGCCAAATTGGTCGCTGCCTCAACAGCTCTCATTTTCAGGTATTGATGATATTACCTTTGTCTGTATTTGCAATATTTATTATGTATAACCGTATCAATCAGGTGTGTTTTCTCTGTATTTATGTTGTTTTAGTTATTTACCCTATTATTTTCAAGTTGCATGTGTCAAAGATTGAGACTGATTCTGTTTTAGGGGAACTTCTGATGACAAATTATTTTATGAGGTTTCAAGTTATATGAACATCTTTTCAATATTCTTGTATCATCAACATTTGTTTTAGTTTCTATCTGTTCTGTTAATATATTAAAGTGAGTTTGCAAGATGGGTGATGACTTGCTTTCTTTGATCTTAAGAGTATCGACAAGTTTGTGTTTATCTATTTTTAATGTATTATAAGAAGTGAAGTGGCACTTTTTACCGGCACTAATAATAGGTTGTCATATTGTTGACTTCAAAAAACATGAGTCCAGCGTTAAGAGAATAAGCCATCTTACCTGCTTATTCAAAATTTGTGAGAATTATTATGCATACCCTAGTCAATAATCAAATTAGCCTTTTTCTTTCAAAACTGAGCTGGCTGAGCACAATACTAGGGTCACTTCAAGTACCTAAATATATCCCTTTATTGAGGGGATGTTTTTGTAGATTGAGGACACTATTAACTGTTTTCTAATATCCATTTCATGTTGTTGTCACAGATGCTTCTTTGTCATTTTAGTTATATTTTTCAAAGCCATGATTTCTTTAAGGTCTAGAAATGCGGTTGATTCTTTGTTTGCAAACAAGGTATATCTTTACAAATTGATATCACAGGTGATGTTATCAGGACATATAATCAAAAGTTTATAGTATATCATTTTTCTTTTACTTAATGATGTAGATCACTGCAGATGTCTATTTCAGTTTTCCTCATCTTGACTGGAGATCAGTAGATTCTTGCATCATAAATCTACTCTGCTGTACCATAATAAACTTTTTTCTGCATATTTAGGGTCCATCTCTAATTTTTCATAGATGGACTGTTTTTAGGAGTGGTTTGTTATGCCCAATTTGTTTCTTGCTTTCAAATATTGTATATTGCTTTCTCAGACACAATGTACTCATTTGATAATCAAAAATTATTTGTTTATGTCAAATTTCCATCCTACCTTGTTATTGTCCAGTTGAGACCTTGATATCTCTTCAACACACAACAATCTCCCCATTTGATCCAAAACTTAGTTTGCTGCAATTACACATGCTTTGTAGTTTTTTCAGCTGAAGGAAATATACAATGTCGCTTTAGTCAGCGTTATTTTATTTTCTGATTTAAGTGCTTTTTGTGTTTATAATGTGTTTTGTTTTACTCAATAAAGTCATTTAAGGCTCCCTGCTCTTTCTAGTTGTAAGAATTCACTTTATGTAATTTGAACTGCTTCTGATCCTTACTAATAGTATTCGTGAACTTTTTGTGCACATTATCAAAAAACTGAAGCTCATGGAATTGGCCTAAAGCTTTATTCTATGTATGAAGATAATATTCCTACAGGTTGTATTAATTTGGCTTTTGCTATGCAATATTACATGAGCTTGCAACTGAAAAGACATCTTTTTTTTTCTTTTCTTTTTTTAATGTTTTGATTCAGAAACTAATTTTCCTCAGTTATCTTTCAAATTACAGCTTTTTAGGCTATATTACAGGGAATGCTAGACTACCATTAATTGATAGTTGAAAAGTCAAAGGAATTGTTGCATTTTCTTAAAACCAAGTTTTAGGTCAGTTGGGAATTGTCTAATGTAGTAGTTTAATTGTCAGAAACATGATAGGTTTGATTTTGGAGTAGAGGGCAATATGATTTTGCTAGGAAGTTATTTTCTTTAAGCAAGTAGTGGTACTTTAGAGGGCATATTAGTGGTCAGGGCGGCTCTGTTTTTTGTTGATGAAGTGCATGCCTAGTCTGATACTGCTGAATTGGGTATTGATTTATCGTGTTTTCTTTGCCAGGTAGCAGAACGTGCATTGTTTTTGTGGAACAACGATCACATAAGAAATCTGATCAACCTGAACCGTAAAGTGATACTGCCTATAATCTTTCCAGCTTTGGAGAGAAACACACGGGGTCACTGGAATCAAGCTGTTCAGAGTTTGACACTGAATGTCAGGAAGATATTTTCTGATGCTGATCAAGCACTCTTTGATGAATGCTTGGCCAGATTCCAAGAGCATGAAGACAAGGAGAAAGAGATAATGCAGAAGCGAGAGTCAACCTGGAAACGCTTGGAAGATGTGGCTGCCTCCAAGGTCGTAAGTAATGAGGCTGTGCTTGTCTCAAAGTTCTCTTCTGTTGCCATTTCCACCAACACAAGTCCACGGGCTACTGCCGGTAGTTGAGAGCTGCATCACATTAGAAGAGTCTATTCTCCTTAGCCAAGGTGAGCCGTAAAGGGAGTGTGCAAATTGGTGCTTTATAGGGATTGTTTGGTCTCACTTCTGTTGGGTCCTTATTTTGTGACTCTGCCAGCTAAATGTTTTAAGCCGAAGATGGGGTGTGTGGATATCGAGGTCACTCCTTTTTTTGGGTTCTCGGCTCATTCCTTATTTGTTTTCTTTTCCCTGTTCCTCTTCCTGTCATGGAGGTGTGTGTATCATAAGGGATTTGGTTATACTTGTAGTTTTTCTTTGGATTTCTTACCTGATAATATTTATTCTGTGCAATTATGCAAAGAGATTCTTATTTTTTTCGCCGAAGTTGTGTTTAACTTTCCTTAACTTTTTGCTGCTGAATTTTAAGCCCCAAGTGTACATAAGATCTCTGCCGCATTTATACAGACCAGTGTTTGCTGATACAAATTCTCATGACTGATTGTGATGTTGGCCCGTGGCCTGAGTGCAATGTTGTTGGTTCTCAAGTTCAGACTTAATTTCGGAGTAAACGACTTTTTCCCACCCAAAGTTTGCCTTAATGTTAACTTTTTTACCCAAAAAGTTTCAAAATACCAATTTTTCACTCAAAGTTAATATTTTGTTACTATCCAAAGCTGATTCCGGAAGTGAAAATTCTTTTTGTCAATACTATTTGAACTTCTAGTATCCTCTTCACAAAAACACTCTCACTCCACTTGATTTTTCGTCGAATATTAGTCATCACAAAGCAAAAGTTTCTTNGACTTTTTCCCACCCAAAGTTTGCCTTAATGGTAACTTTCTTACCCAAAAAGTTTCAAAATACCAATTTCCCACTCAAAGTTAATATTCTGTTATTGTCCAAAGCCGATTTCGGAAGTGAAAATTCTCTTCGTCAACACCATTTGAATCTCTAGTATCCTTTCCACAAAAATACTCTCACTCCACTTGATTTTTCGTCGAATATCGGTCATCGCAAAGCAAAAGTTTCTTATTCTTATCTAATTTTCGGTTGATTTTGATGACAAATATTTAATCGGTCACCGCCATTAGATTCACCGACCTCTACTACATAAAACCTATTTTAGCCAGAGTATTGGTAACTCGTCAAAATGTCGACTGAGAAGGTGAAGTGTATTTTGGGCATTAACAGGATATAAACTTTAGGTAGAAAAGTGTCTGTCATTAAGGCAAACTTTGGGTGGGAAAAAGTCGTTTACTCCCAAATTTTATTATGTAGAACCTTGAACCATATTGGAGTTTAGGACCCATGATTAGTATGTGATAAGGGAAGCTTTGCCAATAAGACGCACTGTAGCTTTTGTTGATTGTGTTTGTTTTCTGTTATATATTAACCTCGGTTTTAAACTTGTGTAGTTCTTGGAGCTCTTGATTAGTCTTAAGCAGTGTTTTAAAACTTGGCTTGACCGGTTTAACCGGGATCCAGGAGCTTCATCGGGTCGGGTTAACAATTTCCCTATTCACCTAAAACTCTAGAATTTGGGATGATCGACGAACAATTGAAGACTGGGATGTTGGAGCTTTTGAAGAGAAAGTGTCGGTGAGTGCAATGGTGGCGATGGAGTTGATTTCCGACGAGTGAATCAATGGGAAATAAAAAAAAAGGCAACGGCAACAGCCGGCTTTTGCCAACGATTGGCGAGGCTAACAGGGGTGGGGTGAGGTGGGTTTTGGTCAGGAGGAAAAGGGAGTATTTTCGAGGTGATGAGGATGGGGAGGGTTGTCGACGCTGGTGTCAGTGAGATTTGGCCTGGAATGTCGACGTTGGCATTGGTGAGATTTGGCCGAAATCAGCCAGATCTTGGATATTTTTTTTGAGGAATGGGCTCAAGGGATGATTGAGATTGCATTTGGGGTGTTGCTACTACCAACCAGTTGCCGGCCGATTTGTATTTAGGATATGTTTCCTAAATTTTAAACCTGTAGAGACTTAACTACAATTTTTAGGGGTATATTTGCTAAATTTTAAAAGTTTTGTGGCCGGTCAAACCTGTCAACTTGCCGGGTTTCACCCCGGGTTGCTTATTAAAACATTGGTCTTAAGTGTAGTGGATTAGAGCAAAATCTTTGGCGAGCTGCAGGTTGTACTTCTGACTTGGGTATTTGGCTGGTATCAGTTTGCCATCATCAATTCAGCTCTTGTGTAGCCTTAGCACTTAACTAGAGTTTTCACTGCTAAAGATTTAAAGGCCATACTTCACCAAATTATGTACTCATCTTTTGGAAAACAATTGAGCCTGTGAACTACTGAACTGATGATGAGGTGGGATCGTTTTGCTAACTAAACGAGTCATGTCAGTTGAAATTTGAAGCAGCTTTTTCATATGCTTGAGCCACTATAATCGACGATACTTGAACCTTCTACGGTTCCCCCCATTGCCAGCATCACTATCCTTATGACCACAGTTGTGTTATTGTTTTGAATGCACAGAGTTCCACCAAAATCTTGAACTGTGGCTGGTATGTGATTTAGCAGCACATCTCACCGTATATATGCTTATATTGAATGATTTCGATAATGTGAAGGTATCAGATCAATTTCCTAATATTTGATATTACCCCAAGCAGTTCACCAATGATTATGAGTGGATATGCCATCTCATAGAAATCACTTGATACATTCACTAATGACATTGCAAATATTGTCTGTAGGGGATGCATATTTCTAACTCTAAAAAATGTATTTCTAAATACTGAAAATATTAGATTGACAAGAGAAAGATCTGAAGGCAAAACCAGATGAAGATAAGACTGAAGCACAATTAATCATCCCCATATGCTCGGAAACTGTAACGCTCTTGATATGGACCGTTGAAGAAGAGATCAGCTTCAAACCACTTGGGATAACGCACAAGGTCACCTGCCAGAAATTGCATGAACCGCCGGCTCCCTTCAGGCACGACTCTCACTTCCCCTTCCTCAATGTAAACTAATTGATCTACCTGCCAGTCCCAGGGCAGCTTGCACTTGCCAGTCTTCCACATTGACCATCTTGAAACCCCAAGCTCCTTCAGTCGATCGGGCGACACTTGACGTTCCACCTTCACACTGTACAATTCCTCTAGAGATTTCTCTACTCGCATTGCCTTTATAACATGACATTGCCCATTTTTATTATTAAATTTTGTACAGCCTCTGCTGCTTTTGTTCACGGAAAACAGGCTGAAAGTTGGGGCTGTAATCAAACTTGCCATAGCTATAGAACGTTTCTGGCTTCAGTGCTAGTCACCTTCCTAAATGGAGAATAGTAGATCCGGTCTTAGAGAAGTTTTGAACAAGTAAATTAACTAATTGCATTCAGTAATAGATTCAGCAGACTAAGATCCAGACATTAACAAATGGAAACAGTGCCATAAACTATAATGAATGAAATATCACCAAGTATGCTCGTTCCCATTCCTCTCTATGCATCTGAACACTTCATGTTTTCCATTCTAACCTCATCTCATGCACTTAATATTGAAGTTTTTTATTTTCAGAACTTTGTTGCCGGATATTACTTCTCACCTTCGAGAAAATGGTTGTTTGGTTCAAAAGCAAAGAGGAAAGCTTTTAAACTTCACACGATAACAGAACGATTTCCTCTTTTCTCTTTTCTTTTTCGTTTAGTAAATCTAAGCATACATTCTTTTTCTTACAAGCAACAACACTATACATTGATTTTATGATTGCAAAGTCTGAAGGTAGGAACACCCAGAAAGTCCACAAATGCGAACTTAGGAAAATTTGACCAAGCTGCATATACTAATATGCAATTGAATTTTTTTTTTTATTGTTTACAGGTTCAGAATTATGCATAGGCTGGATCAAAAAACAGGTTTGTTTTTTTAGGGCTTGGAATTGATTTTGATATCAATTTAAGCATCACTCTAATCATCATAAAATGATCTACTTGTAGAAATGTTAAGTTCAAGAACACACTATAAACTTTAGACTCTTCGGATCAAAACTACTTTCCAGAAAATAAAGCAATATTCAATATGAAAAAATCATTTATACGGAAAATGAAACAGCGCGGGTCTTAAAACAGACACTAAAGCGTTAACTTCTGTTTGGTCTCCGAGAAAAAAGCAGGACAGGAAGAGACGCTATAAATTAGATGGATTATATACTTTTTACTTTACAATAAGAAGGGAACAAACTTTAAAGACTCAAAACTTTCACTTCATTTTATTTTACTTTTTCCAGTTTCTCAGCAAGCAAATAGAAGAAAGAGAGGATAATTATCAAGAGAAGGAAATAAAAATTGGGGAATTTACCTGTTGTTAATCTCTATTGATTATCTCGAAAAGTTTGAAGATGAAAGAGCAAGACTGAGCTTATTCTAAAACCCTGCAGTTGAGGTTTTAATTGATTATCCACAAGAACCCGGTTGTTTGGTCACAGGTGGGTGACCTTTAACATTTAACCCGCTTGCTTTAACTTACCAGTTACCGGGTGTTTCGGTGAAATGAAGACAAAAGAGAGTTTTGGTCTTTAACGTGTCAGGTTCTATTACACATAATTATGAATAACAGTAAAGTTTTTGTTTTAAATTTTTGAAGATAAAATGGTAGGAAGATGAGAAGATGGGAAAATTGAGAGTGAAACTTCAGACTTTGCTTTGTTTCAATAGTTAGAAGTAATGGTGTTACTTCAGCTAAAACACTTTAATGGAGTTTCTCACTGTCCATCAGTGAATCCTTGGATTCAGAGAAGAGAAAGGAGAGCTCAAAAAATTATGTGCTTGCAAGCACAGTCAGTAGCTCCCTCTAGAACCCAGGTACGCTTCGTGTATTTATAGAGAAATACCAAAAAAAAAAAAAAAAAAAAAAATTAAATAGGATGTATTAATAGTATATAAAACAGCTATCTATATATGTTGTTAACGCGTGCGATATAGATTTAATAGCTCCTTTTATTTTTATTTTATTTTCTTTTCGTTTTTATTTATTTTGTAATGTTTCTCTTAGAATTATGAATTTTGTGAAGTCGTGTACATGGCTGAGATTCATGAGTAAGTAGTATGGAAGGGATTATACGGGCTACGGTCTTTTATTTATCCAGGAATTAACTTTTTTAATTTAGTGAAGTGGGGAAGTTTTAGTATTCACAATTTTTTTTTCTTTTTTTAAATTTTGTCATATGTTATTTGATTTTGAACTTTGTCATTTCAACTCTTTAGAGGATAATGGAAAGCATTTCAGTTAGTGGAGAAGTTGGTGGTGCTGGTGGAACATACTCTTACGAGGCCTTAAAGAAGCTGGACAGGGTATGGTCTACTATCTGCTCTGCTCAAACAAGTAAGACTTTACTTCTTTCTCTGGCGCTGGATGATCAGACGATGTACAGCTAATTCTTTTATTGTGGGGTGATGTTAACTTTTCGTATGCAGTTGTGCAAGAACCCCAGCAGGTAGTGTCAAGTATTCCAGGTCTGTTTAGCCAGTCTGATTTGGCCAACAAAGCAGTGGATACATTTGATGTTATAGTTTGCGGAGGCACTTTGGGGATCTTCATAGCCACAGCCTTGAGTTTTAAAGGTCTTCGAGTTGCCATTGTGGAAAGAAATATACTGAAAGGGGTAAACTGCATTGTGAAGTTCATTCTTAATCAAGAGATAGTTTTGAAAAAAAAATTGCTTAAACTGTCGGGTGTTCTAACAGATGTCATTCCATTTTGAAACCAATGATTAGAGGGAACAAGAATGGAATATATCAAGGAAGGAGCTCTTGGAACTTGTAGAATCTGGAATTCTGGTAGAAGATGACATTGTACAAGTTATAGCTGCGAAATTTAATCCTGTAAGCTCTTAAAACTTCATAATTGATGCGTGTTTAAGTTCAATTTGTTTCTGAAAGAAAATTTCTCCTGAAAATGTTTTTCCAAACATAATGCTTTTCAAAAGAGTTTATCGTGCTTGGAAGTCCTTTTCACTGGTTGCACAGCTAGGAGAAACACTAGTCCACTACTGAGTATGGCTTATGTCATATCTTTGGTCCTAATACCATCTCTATATGCTATTTTAACCTATGCAGAACAGATGTGGATTTGAGGGGAAGGGAGAAATCTGGGTTGAAGATATTCTCAATCTTGGGGTATCGTGAGTAATTCTTTCCATTGTGTATTTTCCGATAATGGTAAAAAAGCACAAGGAATATTTAATTGTGGGTTATATTAATTTTGATTTCATATGTTGATGCTCTGAAAGAAATTCAATGTGCATTTTACTCTAACTATAGACGATGATATTCATTGTAAAATGTTAGATTTGAAATTCATCAAACTTGCCTCTCCCATCCGCCAAAATCTGTGTGCATATATATCCATAACAGTTAGGAGTTATTATGGGTTCTGTCAGTTGGTAATGGCTACTATACCAAACACGTTAATCAAAATATTTATGTTTACATGTTTCTTACCTTTGTTTTAAATGACCTCATCTGATGTATAGGAACACTATTCCATATGTCGAAATCATAATGTATATTAGCTCAAAACAGAACTGTTGTCAGTGATTTCTCTGATAAGAATTATATGCATAGTATCTGCATCAGGCTGTAACTTAGTTGAAGAATGCCCTCAGAGGGCTTAGAAATCCGAAGAATGGATCAGAGAACTTTTGAGTTAATGCTAATAAAATATTTCCATACTTGGTTTGAGGGGTTTATTTTGTCATGAAGAAAGCATCAGATTCTGTAATTCTATGTTATTGATCTGGTTTTTGAGAAGATAATTGGTTTGAAAAAAGCAAAGGATTATGTTGTGTGATAAGGTTCCTCCTTGAGAGTTTATAAGTTCAAATCTGATTCTGTATGTTAAAATTTATTTTATTTCCATAATCTTCTGTATAATTTTGTTGACATGTAGACGTAACGCACTTTTATATTCTGTAAGCTGTTTGGAAATTAAGTTTTGTCCATGACTGAGAAAATGATCCTTGCTCTGCAACAAATAACCTAATTTGACTTTCATTTCAGACCTGTAAAGCTTATAGAGATTGTCAAGAAACGTTTTCTTTCCCTTGGCGGGGTTATCTTTGAGCGTAGAAGTGCCTCCAACATTTGCATATATGAAGATGCAGCGGTGAGTTTATTGACACTCGCAAATTGGTAATATTTTCTCCTACCATAGAGTTTGACTGGATTCACTAAATCAGTCTACTGGATACCTACAAAAGATGTAACAATTCATATTCACTCTGTATAAAATACCTCTTCTAATTAACTATCAGTTTACATGAATGCTTCTTTCTTCACAGGTCATTCAACTTGTTGAGGATAACGTCCTGTCATCCCGTCTCATCATTGATGCAATGGGGAACTTTTCCCCTGTGGTGAAACAGGTCTGGTTCCCTTTCTTATACATAATTGTACTCTCACATAGAGTGTTGCAGTATCCTTTCAGAATCAAGCATATTGCATACAGTTGACAGGGAGCAATACTACGCAAGATTGAGTTTTCTTTCTTTTTCATTTTTGTATATACATGCACAGATTACTAATTTAGGTTTATCCTAGTGAAGGTAATGGTTGAAACAAGAAGGAACAAATGAGTGGAAAAACTTCATGCTTAGATGTAGAAAGTCAAGTATCAAAATTCATACGTTGCCCATCCTAAAAAACTAGGTCATGCCCACAAGCAGGCTGGAACTACCTTTGAAATCTCAGTTCAGTGTCTTTTCATTTATAGATAAGACGCGGTAGGAAGCCCGATGGTGTATGCCTTGTTGTTGGATCTTGTGCTCGTGGTTTTAAGGATAACTTGACAAGTGATGTCATTTGTAGCAGTTCGTCTGTGAAGAAAGTTGGAGATTCAGAAGTACAATTATTCTGGGAGGTATTCAATTTTTAAAGTTTATCCTTAATTTTCCACAATTTTGTTTCCTCTTTTGACAATAATTTCAGGCATTTCCATCTGGCTCTGGTCCCACCGATCGCACTACTTATATGTTCACTTATATTGATCCTCAACTGGGATCCCCAAAACTGGAAGAACTGTTAGAAGACTATTGGGATTTGATGCCAGAATATCAGGTTAATTTTCTTCTGTAGTCAAGAATTTTGCAAATGCTACTTTTTCCCAGGCTAAATATCCAGTTAACATTTGGTTAGGCATATTATCAACTGAAGGACAACCTTTTTTAAATCATAAACAAGGTATAGAAGTTTTAAAACATACCATGGAAAGGGGAAAGACGGAGAAGAGAAAGAAGGAGGAGAAAAGAAAAGATTGTTCTTTAAGTTTTGCAGAAAGACTATAATGACCGTCCATTTTTGTTAGTTATTGGTGTGGGTGTTTATGTTATTTGATAGTTTTCCGTTCAAGGAGAACTCTACCTAACTAGATTTTGGGGCTTTTTAGTATATTCGAAACTTGTTTATTTTTTTCATAAATTGATGAAAAAATTGTTCAAATTCATATTTTCTCTTTTGCCTAAGTTGTTGTATAGGAGTAATCGTTAATTTATCTTTTATTTATTACCCATTCTCACTTATTCCCTTATTTTTCTGCCTGCCTTCTCGGTTGAATTTGAGGCTATAAGCAAGTTATAAATTTATTCTTCTTCCAGAAACAACAATCTACTATTTTCTTTCTCTCCTTTTCTTCCTTTTTAACGCTCTCAGATAATAATAATGGATGATGTCCAACCTTTTACTTGTAGGGAGTGTCTCTTGACAATCTGGAGATACTAAGAGTTGTATATGGAATTTTCCCTACCTATCGAGACAGGTAATGATACATTGCATTAAGTGGTCTGAGGTCTTCATACGTGATTTCCATTATCTCCTCAATAAATGCAGAAAACAGTCTTATAATTCTTGAGTTGCATATGTTGGGCAACTGAATGTTCTTTAAATCTAACATCTTATTTTCTTAACGGGGGAGAATTGGCTTGACAGTCCATTGCCAGCTGCTTTTAATCGAGTCATACAGGTGGTTTATGCTACACACTTATAAAGCATCCAATTGTTTATGGCACGTAAGAAATGGATGGCCACTGTAACAGTTTTATTCCCTGCAGTTTGGTGATGCTAGTGGCATACAATCACCTGTTTCATTTGGCGGTTTTGGGAGTTTGACTCGGCACCTTGGGAGATTATCAACAGGTATGTACTTTATAGCAGTTACTATGGCATTATACCATTTTGCTGATTCACAAGGACTGTGAATCATGGAGCTTGAAATCAATGTAATCACTTTGAATATGTAGGTTCTTTTTGCTCTACTGTTATTTATTTTCCTCTTTTTTTCTTCTCATATTTGTAATGTATTCAACACGATGGACTTGTTCATGGGAATATTGTGTAAAACCACATTGATTTATTTCGCATGTTATTTAAATTTTAAGCCCTATATATAATTTTTGAAAGTTGTCACA